CAGATCTAGCGGGTAGATCCTGACGGGCGGGTCGGGAAGGTGGGCACAGGCGGCCAGGTCGAGCAGGCGGGTTGCTGAAGCGTGCGTGCTGCATGAATCGCGAGGAAGTTTCGAGCGGCAACGCGAATCCCCAGTACATTGCGAGGAAATCCACAGCGAGAGCGTGATTCTTGAGTGTCGAGGGCGCGGCGTCTGAATACATTGGGGGGACGTCCCACGCGAGAGCGCGATTCTTGTATAAGTCGTGAGGAGAATCCCGCGCGAGAGCGCGATTTGGGAATATCTTGTCAGGATGAATTCGGGGGGAGTTGTTGTTGTTGTTGTTGTTGTTGTTGTTGTTGTTGTTGTTGTTGTTGTTGTTGTTGTTGTTGTTGTTGTTGTAAATAGGGGTCGTGGGCGCATTCGTGTGGCATGCCATTTTCGTGATGTGTAAAAACCGTACAGGGTGCGAGCCCCAGGAGAAACACTTTGCTTTGAACAAGTCCATGGTTACCGGTCGGGGGAATCAGCAACAATGGTTCTTTAGAAGTGATAATTCAACAACAACAACAACAACAACAACAACAACAACAATCATTTAAGACTGGGGACACTCCGTTCTCACCAGTGCCAGGGTTTTCATAGGAGGCGGGCAATACCCCCACTTTGTGGGGGGGCCGGTTCAAGCTCTACCAAATTTCCAAACGACTCTTCGCCACCACCCACACCCAGCTTCCCGCCCTATGACGTTCGGACACTTCACTTCGTGGCATGCGGACGACCGTGGCTACTATTCAGGGCCCCGCGGCCGACGACGACGGCGTGCGCGCGCGAAGAAAAAACGAATGTGTCCCGCATGGTATTATTTGACAGGGATGATGGCCCTGGCAGGTGCGCAACCGTTGTCGCAGAAGTTCGAAAAAGTTGCTCGCAAAAGCCCGTTTGACAGAAATGTTTAAAAAGTGTTGGGTTTCCTACGAATCCGCAAGAGCGCGCGGGATGAGATTTTGACATTTTTTTGTTGAAAAACCATTGGTTTTTTGATGTTTTTATGTTAAAATCGCTCCGAACACTAAGCTTTTGGAAGGATTTCGTCTTGCGCGCGCGAATGTCCACTTTACCTTATTTTTTGCAAGGGATTCTTGAAATTTGATTATATTAGAACAAGAAATGTCATTTTATAGTGTTTTTTGCAAGGGAAAACGGATTACAACAAAACAACCGGATCTGGATCACATCGTTTTACCTGAGGCTTCCTCACGAAAATGATGAAAATGTGGCTGCGGCCTAGGCGCGGGGGGGGGGCGTGCACCAGGGGGCCCAACAATAATTATTCGTTAGAATTAATAATGTTCAACAACAACAACACCAACAACAACAATAACAATAACAATAACAACACCAACAACAACAGCAACAACAGCAACGAAACCAACAACAACGACAGCAGCAACAGCAACAACAACAACAGCAGCAACCGCAGCAGTTGCAGCAGCACCAGCAGTAGCAACAACAACGATCATGTTAAGACGGTTCGCTCTTATCTGCCCCCGGGCCATCGATACCGCCCTTGTCGTCTTCGACCGCACCCCCCTTGTGGGTACATCTCTGTCTGACTTGCAACGTGTATTTCGCGCAGCCCCTAAGGCAGGGGATGGAAGGACGGATGGAAGGGAAGGACAAGGAGGAGGAATGATGATGGATCACGAGAAAGAGAGACAGAAAAGAGAGAGAGAGAGAGAGAGAGAAAAAAAAAAAGAGAGAGGGAGAGAGAGAGAGAGAGAGAGAGAGAGAAAGAGAGAAAGAGAGAAAGAGAGAGAGAGAGAGAGTAGCAGGAGGGGAGTAGGAGCAGAACGCGTGTGGCAGAACCAGACGGGCAGATCGGGCGGGTAGATCCTAACGAGCGGGTCGGGAAGGTGGGCCCAGGAGACCAGGTCGAGCAGGCGGGTCGCTGAAGTGAGCATCCTCTATGAATCGCGAGTCCCGAGCGATAGCGCGATTCCCAAATATAGAGGAAGTCCAAAGCGAAAGCGTGCTTCCTGAGTGTCGCGGGCGCAGTTTTTGAGTAAATTGCAAGGAAGTCCTGCGCGAAAGCGCGATTCCTGCGTACATGGTGAGCGAACCCCGCGCGACGGCGCGATCTGGGAAAACATTGTGGGGAAGGATCAGAACCGTTGCTGTTGAATCCTCACTTCTGGAGAATAATTATTGTTGACTACCGGAAACGGTTCCGGGCGCTATCGCCTCGACGTTGGTTACATGTTCTTTGAAAAAGAGGCTCCCGCTCGAGCGTTGGTTTGACCCTCAAAGTGCGCCTTTGGAGGCCCAGCTGCGACAACAACGGCTCCCGCTCGATACCTCCTCACAATTTACTTCGAGACGCCCTGGCCAGAGAGGCCTCCGAACTCAGGAACGGCGCTCTCGCTCGAGACTTCCTCGCAGTCCAATCAAGTTGGCGGGAGCCCAGCCACGACGACAAAGGCTCCTGCTCGATAGTTCCTCACGATTTAGTCCGAGAGCCCCTGGCCAGGAAGGCCCCCGAACTCAGGAATGGCGCCCTCGCTCGAGAGTTCCTCATGGTTCTGTCAAATTGGTGGAAGCCCACATGCGATGTCAAGGGCTCTCGTTCGATATTTCCTCAAGATGTATTTGCAAAAAGGCCCTTGCCCACCGAGGTCCTGGCGCGCTGCCCACTGAGGCCCCCAACGCAGAACCCAGTGAAACCCAGAGTAAACCCACAGGGGCCGTAGCATGCTGCCCGCAGGCCCTCCGGCACAGCCCACATAGGCGCCAAGCGCGCCCACAGAGGCCCCCCCGCGCTGCCCACAAAGGCCCTAGGCGCGCCCACAAAGGGCAAAACGCGCTGCACACTGATGCCCCCGACGCAGCCCACAGAGGCTCCAGCCCACGGAGGCCCCAAGCGCGCCCACAGAGGCCCCAGCGCGCTGTCCAATGAGGCCCTCCGGCACAGCCCACAGAGGCCTAAACCCCCGCCCCAAGCGTGCCCACGGAGGCCCCAACGCGCTGCCCACGGAGGCCCCCCGTTCCACAGAGGCCCAGGCCCCAGCCCGCAGAGGCCCCAGCGCGCCCACAGAGGCTCCCGCGCTCTGCCCAATGAGGCCCACAAGCCCTAAGCGCGCCCACGGAATCTCCAGCGCTGCCTACTGAGGCCCCGCGACGACGCCCACAAAGGCCCCGCCCGCGCCCACAGAGGCCCCAGCCCCCAGAGGCCCCGAGCGCGCCGACAGAGGCCCCAGAGCGCTGCCCACCGAATGCTCCGACACAGCCCACTGAGGCCCCACACGCGCCCGCAGAGGCCTTAGCACGCAGAGGCCTCAAGCGCTCCCACAGAGACCCAGGCGCGCTGCCCACTGAGGTTCCCGACGTAGCCCACAAAGGCCCCAGCCCACAGAGGCCCCAAGCGCGCCAACAGAGGCCCCAGCGCGCTGCCCACAGGCCACCCAACACAGCCCACAGAGGCGCCCACAGAGGCCCCCGCGCGCTGCCCACTGAGGCCCCCGACGCACCCACTGAGGCCCCAAACGAGCCCACAGAGGCCTTAGCCCGCAGAGGCCCCAAGCGCGCCCACTGAGGCTCCCGACGCAGCCCACAGCGGCCCCAGCCCACTGAGGCCCCAAGCGCGCCCACAGAGGCCCCAGAGCGCTGCCCACTGAGGCCCCCCCGCACAGCCCACAGAGGCCCCAGCCCGCAGAGGCCCCGAGCGCGCCCACAGAGGCCCCCGCGCGCTGTCCAATGAGGCCCTCCGGCACAGCCCACAGGAGGCCCCGAGCGCGCCCACAGAGGCCCCAGCCCGCAGAGGCCCCAAGCGCGCCCACAGAGGGCAAAGCGCGCTGTTCACTGAGGCCCCCGACGCAGCCTACAGAGGCCCCAGCCCACAGAGGCCCCAATTGCGCCCGCAGAGGCCCCAGCGCGCTGCCCTCTGAACCCCCCCGACACAGCCAACAGTGGCTCCAAGGGCGCCCACATAGACCCCAGCCCGCAGAGACCCCAAGCGCGCCCGCAGAGGCCCCAGCGCGCTGCCCACTGCCCCCAACGCAGCCCACAGAGGCCCCAAGCGCGCCCACAGAGGCGCTCTCGCATGAGACTTCTTCGCAATTCAATCAAGTTCGCGGATGCCCAGCCGCGACGACAAGGCTCCCGCTCGACATTTCCTCGCGATCTGGGAGGCCTTGGCCAGAGAGGTTCCCGAACTCAGGAACAGCGCTCTCGCTGTGGACATCTTCGCAGCTCAGTCAAATTTGTGGGGACGCAGCCGCGATGACAAGGGCTCCCGCTCGATGCTTCCTCGCGATTTGATCCGAGAGGCCCTCTCGCGTGGTGCATCCTTCTCTTCCCCCGTCCGTCCTCCCTTCCCCTGTTTTAGGGGTTGCGCTAAATGTGCGCGGCAGGTAAGGCAGATAAACCCCCGAGGGGGTACGGTCGAAGACATACAGGGCGGGTATCAAGGGTTTGGTATATATGTGTGTGTGTGTTGCGTGGCACGCGATCAAATAAGAACACATTGTCTTAACATGATTGCTGTTGTTGCTGTTGTTGTAACTCTCAGGCCAGGGGCCCAATCTTGAGAACCAAGATTTCCCCAGATAGCAGGCAGGCTGCGAGCTCCGGGAAAGGGCACTTCAATTGATACATACAATGTGCCCCGGAGTTGGGATTAACAATACTATTTTTTCAGTAGTGCGAGTTCAACAACAACAACAACAACAACAACAACAACAGCAGCAGCAGCAGCAGCAACAACAACAACGACAACGACAACGACAACGACAACGACAACGACAACGACAACGACAACGACAACGACAACAACAGCAACAGCAACAGCAACAGCAACAGCAACAGCAACAGCAATCAGAAGCCGCACCGCGGAGTCCCACTTCAGCCGCGCACCCAGGGACAATGAATGACCGTTCGGACCCCTCCCTCTGATTTTTACAGCGGGCATCGTCGACCTTGTCATTCGTCTCGAATTGGTTGTGGCTCCCGTGGGTACCTGTAAGGACCCGCGTCGGGGGCGTCGCCTGCGCGCAGCTCGTTTTTTTCCGAGGCGCCACGGCGGGGCTGCCCCGGCGCGGCCGGGCTGCTGGCCGGGCTGGCGGCGGCCGACCAGGCCAGTGGCGGCCAGCCTTCGGAAAGCGAGGATGCCCCTCGGGCCTCAAGAGACGGGGGTCAATGCAATATCGATTTACCGCCAGATTGACTGTCTCGTCGGATCGATCAAACAGGTTAGCATGTTCTCGTGGACTCGGCGAGTGAAAACCGATTTCGGGGTCAATTCTGCAGTCGATCCCCTACTCGACTCCTCGCTTACCCCTTCGCAGCTCGCCGCCGAGTGCCAGGGGCAGAGGGCACCGGCTCGGCTTTGGGGCTCAGATAACGGGTCGGCCACGCGTGAGAGTGACCTTTCGCCGGAGTGGCTTTGGTGCGGGCACCAGGTCGGGAGCCTTGGGGCGGGGTCCTGCAGAGCCAGGGTTGCATTGACTCAGGCCTTGGCGCAAGATCCTGCAGGATCCTGCAGGATCTTGCAGGATCCTGCAAAGCCTGACTGACCCGGGTGCGGATTGAAACGGTCAGTCGATCCCTGAATGCCCTGACCTTCCAGAGTGTTGGTTGGCGGCGAGCGAGGGAGGGAAGTGAGAAGTCGAAGGCCCTTTCTTTGAGGAGGAAAGGGTGCCGATACCATTACCGTTCCCTCGTTTTTGCCTTCTTGGGCATCCTGGGAGGCCCTCGTCGCCATCGCTGGATTCGCTTCGAAATCTTGGTCCGAACGCACCCCGGGAGAGGCCCAGGAAGTAGCGGTATCGGTACCTGTTTGTCCCCTCATTCTCAGAAGGCGGCGGGGTTTCTCAGAAGCCCCCTGGCCCCTGGCCTTCTGAGAAGTGGTCGCTGCCTTCGGGGAAGGCTCAGAGAACTGATCGGAAGGCTGGGGGATGTCCGAGCCTTCTGGCAAGGCCCGCCCCTTCGCACTTCCCCCCCGGGCTTGCCGCCGACTTCCAGAGTACTGGACAGCCCACAAACCCGAGGCTCCGAAAATATTGGCGCGGCCAATTTTGACAGGTCTTTTCTTTCTCCTGGGGCTCCCAGCGGGGCCCGGGACCGACAAGAAACTAGTCAGGATGAGAAGCTGGCCCGACCTGGTCCCCGCGGAGCGACACGTTATCATGTTGCAAGGGATCGCTTGTCGCCAGGGCCTCGGTGGCAACACGGTATCCAGCGACCGTAGACCTCATTGGATTGCCGATCAATCTCGATTGAAATGTAAGTGTCTCGGTCCTGGAGTGTGATTAGTTGACGATCCAGGAACCCCAGGGCCCGACGTTACGAGAAAGTTGCAACATCGCGAAAAAAACACGGCAGGAGCCCCATGCAGACCCCATCGTTCTGTTGCACGTAGCCGGATGGATCTGTGATGGCCCTGGGGCCCGAACCCCCGCAACGACGCCTGGAGCGAAAAAAATTGCAACGCCTGCGGATCTCGGGGAAGGCCAGGGGAGCTTCGGCCACTCGCAGGAAGAAGACGGGCACGGCCCGCCCGAGTCCCAGGGCCCGCGCGCCAGCGGCGGGGACGTCACGGTCACGCAGCCCGGTTTCTCGTTCGGCGCGCCGCCTGGAGCCGCGGCCGGCGCCTGGCGGGGCGCGGGGCCGGAGGCTGTCGGGGCTCACGCAACGTGGGTCGGTGCCAACGGGGTCAGCCAACCCCCTCTGGCTGACACGGGTTTGGGAGCGTGGGGTCGTTTCCCCCTCCCCCCCTTGAGTTTTCTTGCAGGGCTGGACAGGGCACCAGGACCTCTGGAGAGCTGCTTTATAGCATCCTGGAAGGTTAGGAGCCCTTCCGCCCTCCGCTGACGTGTGGGAGCTACCGCGGTCTGTGCGCGAGCGTTGCGTTTTTTTCACGCCGGGCGTGGCCGCCCGACGTCGGGCCCTGGGGCCATCACACATCGATGCGTCCGAAGCCTGCTGCAGAGCGGAGAATGCTGCGGAATGCTGGGGTCTGTAGGGCTCTGGTCGTGGCCCTTGGCGATGCCGCATTGGTTAACCACAGCGTCGGGCGTCCCCGAGGAGGGCGCGCGGGAGGCGGGCGCGTTGCCCCGCAGCGGCCCAGGCGAGGAGCTGGCGGCGCACGCCGGGCGCGGGGGCGAGGGCGAGGGCGCGGGCGGCGAGGGCAGCGCGGGATCCGAGCGCAGGCGCCCAGGGGCAGAGGCCCAGAGATCCCGACGCTCCGACAAACACTGGGGCGGCGGGTTTGGGACCGTTTTCGGCCTCGGGGGGCCCTCGCCAGGCCTCGGGACGATCAACGGGAGGACTCAGGACGAACATCTGGCCCCAGATCTCCGGGGCCCACGCATCGAACAAATTGGAGTGGCCGCATGTCTGGGGTCGGCGGCGATCCCGAGGGGAAGTGAGAAGGGGTGGGTCTTCTCGCAAGGCTCGAAAGCCACCTGGCCTCTTGAGAAGCTTTCCATAGCAGACATGCGACGACCTGATGTTTTTTTCCAAGACGCGGTCCTCCGAAGTCCCGACCCTTTCTCGGGATTGGTTTCTCCTCCTGAATAACTTTTGTTGACGGTCCTGGGGCCCAGGAAGGGCCCCGATAGGTTGGAAACGGCAGAGAATCTCCCGTCCGGAATTTTTCGCGACGCGAGCATGTTTGGGAAGCCTCCCCCGAAGACACGGGAAATGTCTCAGGGCCAGCGGGGTTTCTGAGAAGCCCCGCCGCCTTTTGAGAAAATCTCTTCCTTCGAGCAGAGGCTTGGCCGCATAATTCATTTACTCCCAACTTGACTGCCTCGTCGAATCTTCAAAAAAAAACGTGTTATAGTTCAAGTGCTCGAGGGATGAACATCGACTTCGGGGTTGATCAATTCTGTAGTCGATCCCCTACACGCTGGTCGTTGGAAGTTTGTATTTCTGGATTCCCAGATCCCAATCTACTTCAAGCGCCTTCCTATTTCGAGGCAGATTATGCTGCGTTGTGTTATTATCTGGCAGGGCCTGAGACCAATCTGCGTTATCCGTCTTCCTACTTCATGTTTTGTCTGCTTCTTCCGACCGACTTGTACTCGACTCCTTTTCACTTCCCTCGGGAGCAACGACACGGGGGGATAAGCATAGGCGGGGATGCATCGACCCCCAATCGCCGATTGATCTCCGAGAGGGGCCCGATAGCCCCACCCCGCCCAGGAAGGTGCGGTCTCGCTATCGGGCGCCCACCCGATCTATCGGCAATGTATCGCCGATCCCCCCCTCGTGCCAGCTACCCCCTGTCGTTGCCCCCGACTCCCCCACCCTCGCCGCCGGGGGCCGGGGGCACAGGGCACCGCCTCGGCCTGGGGCTCCGGTATGACAGGTCGGCTGCGCGGACGAGTGCCCTTTCGCCAAAGTGACTCTTGGTGCGGGCACACGGGCCCCGAGATCCTGGCGCAGTTTCTTCGCGCCGGGCGTTTTCGCTCAGTTGCGGGCAACGGGACCCTCGCAGATCGATCCGGCCTGAAAAATTGCACAGAAAGATGGGGTCCAAGGCGCTGGTCGTGATTTTTCACGATGTTGCATTTTTTCGAAGCGTTGGGTCTCAGGGGGTGGGGTCGGGAGCCTTGAGACGGGGGTCAATGCAAACGGGGGTCAGCCAGAGCGCCGGATCTCGCAGCATCCTGCAGAGCCAGGGGCGCACTGACCCGGGCTTGGGTGTGCAGGATCTTGCAGGATCCTGCAGAGCCTGACTGACCGGGGTCTGCATTGACCCGGTCAGTGCGTCTTCGCGAGCACACAGAGGTCCCGCCAGCCCTGACTAGCGCGCTTGGATGGTTTGGACTTGGCCTCGCCCGCGGTCCCCAAAAGTCTCTCTTGCCCAGGGCCACTCCTGCGTGCAGCCGAACACGGGTCAGCCCTGGCAGGGTTGCGGCCAGGAGCGTTTTCATATCGTGTCGTGGCGGCGGCCCCGGCCAGCGTATAGCGTTGCGCTCCGCTCCGCGGGGTGGGAGGCTTGGAAATGCTGGGGGCGTTGACGTTCGGGGACCGGGAAGTGGTTAGCGGGACAGACCAGATCCCCCGAAAATGCACACACTTATGGGGGTATGCCAACCGTGAGCTTCCAGAGTGCTAGACAATAGCCCTCCAGAACCAATTGACCTCCTTGAATTGCCTGAAACCTCGACTGGGATGCGGATGTCGAGGTCCTGGTGGAATCCCCACTGGATCACCCGGGTTTGGGAGCCACGCAGGGCCGATTTCCCTTGTCCATCCGCCGCTGAACAGGGTTTGGGAGCTACCAAGTGGCTGTCCAGGCTTTGCGACAGGGCTCTGGCCGCCAGCAGGTTTGTGCTGACCCGGGTTAGTGCGTTCCCGATCGGCCGTGAAGGGACGGGAGTCTTGGGGTGAGGGTGCTGACCCAGACAAGCTTGCGTCGTGTAAAGCAATACGGGCGGTGCTCTGCCGTTTTCGGCCTCCAAGGGCCCTCGCCAGGCCCCGGGACCGTCACCAAAACGACCCAGGACTTTTATGGAACCCCACATGGAAAAGATCAGGACTGCGCATGTGTTTCGCCGTCTTCGGGCTCCCCGCGGGGCCTCAACCCGGCGCCCCAGGACCAGTACAGAGCGACATGGCGGATCAGGATGACAGGCTGGTCCCAGGGAAAGGACATGGATGCACGACTCCTTTCTCTCACGACACACCCCACATCATAATACATTGTAAGACAGAAGCAGAAACAGGTTCGACAGCACGGCCGCCTTGGTTTCGAGCGGTCGTGTCCGCGTTCTTTTCCAAGGGTCTCATTGATCGAGCAGGGCCACATGTTTAGACAGATGCTGCGCTGAGAGGCAATCAGGCGTACTTTGGTTCTCTCTTTGGGTGTGGGGGGGGCCACGTCGCTCTGTCAATCCACATTTTCTGCGAATGGTGCCACATTGGCGAGGGAACGCGGATGTTTGCGCTTGACCATCCCTCAGGCTCGAGGAGACTGGGTCGATGGGCTCGGGCGCCTGGGATGACCCGGACAGCCAGGGCGACGACCTGAGCCCCATCGCCCCGCTTAGCCTTCAGGTGCAGCCGCCCATGGACGAAGAGGACCGATGTGATGTGGCAAGGCAGGCGTGTTGAAGGTAGGCATTTCTTTGATTTAGAGAAGCCTATGTCGTCGATTGATCCCTGGGGGGAGCTGGCTATAGAGCGGGCTGCAATGTAGCACTTATTCCCAAACGAGTGCTTGAACCTAGGTGTTCTTGCTTTTGTTTCTAAACGACTGGGTAGGGTGTCCCGGGTTTTCGCCGCGCTGGCGCCCGTGCCCGTTCGTGGGCGACAGGTCGGCGCCTCAGGCTTACACCGCACAGTTCACACACCACACAGCTCACGCCGCATAGCTTACCTCGCATAGCTTGGACGACTCAACTTGTTCCACATTGTATACACACTGCGTAGCTTTCACAACATACCTTGCAGTACGTAGCTTGCACCGCACAGCTTGCACCGCACGCCACATTTCTTACACAACATCGCTAACACAACATAGCTCACACCTCATTACGTCAAACTTCGTAGCGTCAGTTTTTTCAGTGCGATAGCTTATTGTTTGGGGACCACGCCGAACAAAAATATGTTGAAAGGAGGTGCAGGGGTTCGGACACCCGACGGCCGTGGAACAAAACACCGCAGCGCCGCAAGCATCAAGACCAGAGCTCAAACTCCACTTCGCCGACTTTGTCGAGCCGCATCAGTCTGTGAGGGCCCCGGGGCACGAGGCGAACGAGACCCGCCGTGATGTTTCGCGACGCAGGGATGTTGGGGAGAGGGGGGAAGCAGAAGAAACGCCGCCTCTCTGCCCAGGAGGAGCAGGCGGACTCCGAGATTGCGCCGGCAGCACCAGCCAGATGGCCCACAGACCTCCCGCGCGAGAGCGACAGCGAGGGCGAGGACTCCCCCCTCCCCTCCCGACAAGGTGCGGAATTTGCTGCCATTGCAGCATTCGCTTCGGCTCGCGCGGCTTCTGCCAAAGGTGTTGCTATCGCTGGCCTCTACCGCTGCCAGAGGTGAGCCATCAAATGCCCAACTGTTTTGTGTGCGGTCTGGGGGTTCTCTTGGGGCCGTCTCGGGGTCCTTTTGACACTCCTTGGCCATCGTTGTCCTTCTGGGAGTCGGGCGAGACCCCCTATGGGCAATGCAGGTGGGCATTCTGGCCATCCTGGGAGCTCCTGGAGCCTCCCGAGGGAGCCAGAGAGAAGCTCGAGGAGGGCTCGCTCTAGGAGGAGACGGGGCACTCTGCTTACACAAGTGCGTGGGCCCATGGTGGGAGAAAACCCCTTGAAGCCCTCTTGGGTCGTCGGAGGGGCTGGACGTCGTTTGTTCGGCAAGCGAGCCAAGGAGTTCGGCGAATGAGTTCGGTGTCTAGACGCTCCAGCGTCCCACAGGCTGGAACGCTGGGGCGTCTGTACACCGAGCTCCTTGGCCGACCAGACGACTTGGCGTATGCTTAAAAAACACACCCAGGTCGCCCAATCCCAGTGGCCAGGCCATTAACAGTGATTGATGGTGTGGCTTGCTGAAGTGTTGTTGTTCCCAACCCTCTTGTTCCCCAATCAGAGCTTGCCTTTGGAGGTGTCCTAGCGGATTCATATGGTTAGGTTAGCTGCGCCGCCGAGTTTGGCGGCCAGCCCGGGTGCCCCAGTGCCCGGGAGCTGCGTCGCCGATTTCGGCGGCCCGCCCAGTTGCCAGGGTGCCCGGGGACCCCATGGCCTTACAGCCCTACAGCCCTATAACCCTACAGCCCTATAGCTCTACAGCCCTGTAGCCTTATTGCCAAATAGCCAAATAACCCTACAGCCCTCTAACCCTGTAGCCCTATAGCCCTGTGGCCCTCTAGCCCACCAGCCCTCTAGCCCTCTAGCCCTCTAGCCCTCCAGCCCTCTAGCCCTATAGCCCCATAGCCCTATAGCCCTGTAGCCCCATAGCCCTATAGCCTTGATAGCCCTGTAGCCGAAAGTGCGCCAGTGGATCTCCCTGAATACACTAAAGGGGGGGGGGGGGGGGGGGCAGAACCCCCCCCCCCCCCTCCCCTCCTTCAAGGGGGGGGGGGGGGATCCGGACCCCCCCCCCCCTTGGCGCTGGAAAGGGGGGGGGAGGGTTCGGACCCCCCCCCTCGTGTAGGGAGTACGGAGTTGGGAGTAGGGAGTGGTGAGTAGTGAGTATTGAGTTCGTGCGTAGTGAGTAGTGGGTATTGGGTAGTGAGTAGTGGGTAGTGAGTGGCGAGTAGGGAGTAGGGAGTACGGAGTGGGGAGTAGTGAGTAGTGAACAGTGAGTAGTGTGTACTGACAAGCGAGTAGTGAGTGGCGAGTAGTGAGCACTGCGTAGTGAGTAGCGAGTAGCGAGAAGTGAGTACTGATTAGGGAGTAGGGAGTAATGAGTAGTGGGTAGTGAGTAGTGGGTAGGGAGTAGTGGATGGCGACTAGTGATTAGTGAGTAGTGAGTAGTGGGTAGTGCGTAGTGCGTAGTGAGTAGTGAGTAGTGAATAGTCAGTAGTGGATAGTGAGTAGCGAGTAGGGAGTAGTGAGTAGTGAGTAGCGAGTAGTGAGTAGTGAGTAGTGAGTAGTGAGTACTGAGTTTTACGTGGTGCGTAGTGAGTAGTGAGTAGTGAGTAGTGATGAGTAGAGAGTAGTGGGTAGTTGCAGTGGGTAGTGAGTAGTGAGTAGCCAGGGGGGGGTAGCGAGTAGTGAGTAATGATGAGCGAGTAGGGCTTAGTGAGTAGTGAGTAGAGAGTAGTCAGTAGTGAGTAGCAGGTAGTGATTAGGGAGTAACGAATAGGGAGTATCGAGTAGTGAGTAGGGAGTAGGGAGTAGGGAGCAGTGAGCAGTGAGTAGTAAGAAGTGGGTAGCGAATAGTGGGTAGTGAGTAGCGATGTTTGAGTAGTGGGTAGTGGGTAGTGTGTAGTGACAAGTGACTAGTGAGTTGTGACTAGTGACTAGAGACTATGTAGTGACTAGTGAGTAGGAAGTAGTAAGTAGTGAGTAGTGAATAGTGAGTAGCGGGAAGTGAGTAGTGAGTGTTGAGTAGCGAGTATGGGAGTAGCGAGTAGTGAGTACTGAGTACTGTGTGACCAGTATTGTGTAGGGAGTAGCGAGTAGCGCGTAGTGGGTAGTGGGTAGCGATCAGTGGGCAATGAGTAGTTAGTAGTGAGTAGTGAGTAGTGGATAGTGGGTAATGAGTAGTGATTAGTGAGTAGTGAGTAGGGAGTAGTGAGTAGTGCTTAGTGAGTAGTGAGTATTGAGTAGTGGGTAATGAGGAGTGAGTAGTGAGTAGTGAGTAGGGAGGAGAGAGTAGTGAGTAGGGAGTAGGGAGTAGCGAGTAGTGGTTGGTGGGTAGTGAGTAGTGGATAGTTAGTAGTGAGTCGTGAGTAGTGAGTAGTGAGTAGGGGGTAGTGAGAAGTGAGTAGCGAATAGCGAGTAGTCAGTAGTGGGTAGTGAGTAGTGAGTAGTGAGGAGTACTCTTTAGGGCTGGGATTAGTGGTTGGGGTTAGGAGTAGGGGTTTGGGTTAGGGTGAGGACTAGTGGTAGGGGTGGCGGGGGTCGGGTTTCGGAGTCAGGGTGCGGCGTGGCGAACGGGGGGGAGGGGGGGGAGGGTTCGGACCCCCCCCCCTTTTGAAAGCGGGGTAGGGGGGGTAGAGGGGGGGGGGGGGGGGGGGCGTTTCCCGACGACGGGTCGGGGAAAGGGGGGGAAGGGGGGGGGGTCCCCGACGACGGATCGGGGAAGGGGGGAGGGGGGGCGGGGGGTCCCCGACGACGGATCGGGGAAGGGGGGGAGGGGGGGGGCTCCGACCCCCCCCCCCCGTGGGGAGATCCAGCGGCGCACCCCCCCTATAGCCCTATAGCCCTATAGCCCTATAGCCTTACAGCCCAACAGCCCAATAGCCCTATAGCCCTATAGACCCAAAGCCTCATTTCCCTATAACCCTATAGTCCCACAGCCCCAACAAAGATTCTGACTGGGGCTTCTTTCCGGTACCATGTTGAAGCTATGTGTGCCATCGCAACCGCCACTTCCTACTACCACGTCCACTACCATCAGTTATACATATTTTTACATGTTTACCAACACCACCATTAGCTCTAACACCACTGCGGCTACTCCTACTCCCAGTTGGGTGTGGGTGGCAGTTCGTCGAACCCCCCTCGGAACCACCCCCCGTTTGGAAGGTTTTCCGGATGTTGTTCGGGAAGGGTTGTCGGTGTTTTTTTCTGTGGTTTTCGGGGGGGGGGGGAACCCCCGAAAATACTACCAATTCGGGGGTTCTTTCTGTGTTTTTGTTAAAGTGTTGTTTGTGTTCGGAGGTCTTTCCGGTGGGGAAACCTTTTGGGGAAACCCTTGAAACAAAAACCCAATTCGGGTTTCTTGATTTTTTTTCTGAGGTTCTGGGGCCCATTTTTAAAAATGAAAAAGAACTATTGCTGAAGCTCCCCCAAGACACCCCTGAAACAATCCGCAAGTCGGGTTTTTTGTTTCTGAGGTTTGTCGATTTGTTCTTGGGTTTTCCAGGGGGAACCGCCGAGCAAACCAACAACTCAGGAGTTGTTCTGTTGGTTTTCGGTGGTTTTGCGTTTTTTTAAACATCCCGAAAACCAGAATGGGGGGAATACCAGAAAGAAAAAAAAGTAAAGAAAAAACACCCCGACTCAGGCTTTTTACCTTGTTTTTTGTTTCGGAAGTTCTTGACAACCCTCCGGGAAGCGTTCAAGAAAAAGAAAAAACAATTTGGAGGGTTTTCTGTAGTTTTTCTCTGGTTCTGGGGCACAATGAAAACAATATTTTTTGGAGGAAACTCCCGGGAAATTTTTGAAAACCAAAAAACAATTATTGTTTTTCTTGTTCCCCGATCAGAGCTTGCCTATGTAGGGGTCCTAGCGGATCCATATGGTTAGGTTAGGTTTGCCGCCGATTTTCGCTGCACGCCCGCGTGCCCGGGGGCCCGGGGGTGCCCGGGGCCCGGGTGCCCAGGGGTTGCCCGGGGGTGCCCAGTTGCAGAGTGCCCGGGTGCCCAGGCGTGCCTGGGGGTTCCCTATAGCTGTATATATACACACATATATATATGTGTGTATATAAACATATATGTATATACACACGCCATAAGCCCTATAGCCTTATAGCCCAATAGGCCCATAGCCCTACAACTCTATAGCCCTATAGCTCTCTAGCCCTATAGCTCAATAGCCCTATAGCCACCCTAGCCTTATAGCCCCGATTGGGTTTTCTCCGGCATTTTATGCGCGATGCTTTCATAATATTTTGTTTAAGTCTGGCCCCGCAAGCCTCTTTGAAAAAAAACAAAGCTCCCCTCCCCCCCTCCGTTATCAAAGAGGAAAACATCAGAAACAATTCCCAACTCGGGGGCCGGACTCTCCTGACGAACCTTCAAATTCTGGGTTTGTTCGAGAGTTGTGGAGCCCCACGCTGAAAAACAGTTCCCCAATCTGAGCTTGGCTCTGTAGGGGCCCAAGCGGATTCGTATGGTTAGGTTAGGTTTGTCGCCGATTTTTGCTGCACACCCAGGTGCCCGAGTGCCCTGGGGTGCCTGGGTGCCCGGGCGTGCCCGGGGGTGCCCGGGTGCCCAGGGGCCCCTATAGCCCATTAGCCCTATAGCCCTACAGCTCTAGAGCCCTATAGCTCTATAGCCCTCTATAGCTCAATAGCCCTATATCCCTACAGCCCCCTAGCCCTATAGCCCTGATTGGGGGTGTTTCTCCGGTACCATCGTAATTCAATCCCCCCCAGAGAACCTTCGAAAAATAAGCCCGACTCGGTGTTTCTTCTGTTTTTTTTGGGGGGAGCTGGTGCCCCATCATTAAAAACCAACACATATCTTTTATACAAATCATTCAGCAACAGCCACGATCGGTTTTCTAATGTTTTTTGTCGGGAGGTCTGGGGCCCCACAATTAATAACAAGCGTATTTCTCAACCCCCTCGAGCATTATACCTTTATATATGTATATAGAATAAACCTTAACCCGGGTATGCGTTCGGCATTTGTTTTGTTCTGTGGCTTTACAATTTAAGCCGTAGTATTTCTGAATTTCCCCGGGAAGCCCCAGAACAAACCCCCAATTCCAGTTGTTTGTTTTGTTTTGTTTTTTCGTGGTTGTTTTTACGGCCCCACATATCAAACCAATCTTAGTTTTGAAGCCCAATGGCAAACCTTGAACAACTCCCCAACTCTGGTTTTTGTTCTGAGGCTTCTTGGGGGAAGCCTCCCAACTCGGTAATTGTTCGTGTGGACACACACACACATATATATATATATATATATACATACGTATTGATCTCTTATTTTATTTTGCAAGAGATCCAAGAAACAAATGAAATCCAGAGGCGCATCGGTCCGTGAGGGCCCCGGGCCCGAAACGAGGCGAATGAGACCCGCCGTGTTGTTGCGCGACGCAGGGGTGTTGGGGAGAGGGGGGAAGCAGAAGAAACGCCGCCTCTCTGCCCAGGAGGAGCAGGCGGACTCCGAGATTGCGCCGGCAGCACCAGCCAGATGGCCCACAGACCTCCCGCGAGAGAGCGACAGCGAGGGCGAGGACTCGCCCTTCCCTTCCCGACAAGGTGCGGAATTAGCTTCCATTGCAGCATTTGCTTCGGCTCGCGCTGCTTCTGCCAAAGGTGTTGCTATCGCTGGCCTCTACCGCTGCCAGATGTGAGCCATCAAATGCTCAACTGTTTTGTGTGCGGTCTGGGGGTTGGGGCCGTCTCGGCGTCCTCTTGACACTCCTGTGCCATCGTTGTCCTTCTGGGAGTCGGGCGAGACACCCTATGGGCAATGCAGGTGGGCATTCTGGCAATCCTGGGAGCTCCTGGAGCCTCCCGAGGAAGCCAGAGAGAAGCTTGAGGAGGGCTCGCTCTAGGAGGATACGGGGCACTCGACTTACATAAGTACGTGGGCCCATGGTGGGAGAAAACCCCTTGAAGCCTTCTTGGGTCGTCGGAGGGGCTGGACGTCGTTTGTTTGGCAAGCGAGCCAAGGAGTTCGGCGAATGAGTTCGGTGTCTACACGCTCCAGCGTCCCACAGGTTGGAACGCCGGGACGTCTGTACACTGAGCTCTTGGGCCGACCAGACGACTTGGCGTATGCTTCGAAACACGCCCAGGTCGCTCAGTCCCAGTGGCCAGGCCATTATCAGTAATTGATGGCTTGGCTTGCTGAAGTTTTGTTTCCCAAACCTTTTGTTCTGAAGCTATGTGTTCCATCGCAACCGCCATATCCTATTACCACGTCCACTACCATGTATGCTTAATATTAGCACCAACGCCACCACTACCACTAACACCACAACGCGACTCCTCTGTCCTACAGCAGCTTGTGCTCTTATTTTGCTACTACTACTACTACTACTACTACTGCTGCTGCTGCTACTACTACTATTACTACGACTACTACTACTACTACTACTACTACTACTACTACGTCTACTACTACTATTATTACTACTACTACTACTACTACTCCTACTCCTACTACTACTACTACTACTACTACTACTACTACTACTACTACTACTACTATGACTATTGCTACTACTACAAGTACTACTGCTACTATCACTACTACTACTACTACTACTACTACTACTACTACTGCTACTACTACTACTACTACTACTACTACTAGTATTACTACGACGACGACGACGACTACTACAAGGGCTACGACTACTACTACTAGTACGACGACCACTGCGACTATGCTTATCCGTATTATTGGCACGACTACTACGACGATTTTTATCCTTACGTTTTTCCATACTACGAATCTTGCGACCACTACTACTACCTCTACAACTACTACTGGTACTACTACTACTACTATTACTATTACTACTACTACTACTACTACTACTACTACTACTACTTCTACTACTGCTACTACTACTACTACTACTACTACTGCTACCACTACTGCTACTACTATTGCTATTATACTATTACTACTACTACTACTACTACTCCTACTACTACTACTAGTACTAGTACTACTACCACTACTACTACTACTGCTACTACTACTACTACTACTACTACTACTACGAGGACTACTACCAAAACTACTGCTACTACCACTACTAATACAACAGCATCTACTATTACTATCACGGGTACGACCGCAACTACTAGCACTATGACTACTGCCACCACTACTATTACTGCGACTGTTTTTATTGTTGCTGCTGATACTTCTCCCTCTACTGCGACAACGGCGACGACTACGACTACGACGACCACTGCCACTACTCAGCCGACGACTACGACGACTAATGCTATCATTGCAGTGGCTATTTTGAGTACTACCCGTACTACGGCAATCACTGCTACTATGATTGCCAATATTATTACTACTGCTAGTATTACTACTATTACTTCACAGCTATTGCTACTAGTGCTACTGATACTACTACAGCTACTACTACTACTACTACTACTACTTCTACTACGACTACTACTACGACTACGATTACTATTACTACGATTACTACTGTTACAATTGTTATTCCGAGTATTACCATTAACGCTACTAGTATTACTACTACCACTACTACTACCACTGCTACTACTACCGGGAGCTCCCCCACACTCATGATTCGCATTACTACCACCACCACCAGCCCTACTACACGATACCTGCCGCCCCTACGACAACGATTATCATAGGTACTACCAGTACCTTTACTACTACTATCACATCTAGTATTACTACGACTACTACTACTACTACTACTACTACTACTACTACTACTACTACTACTATTACCACTACTACGACGACTACTACTATTAGCATTTCTATTACCCCTGCGATTACTATTCCTATCACGACGACGACTACTCCTATGCTTATTGCGACTACTACTTTTATTTCTACTGCTACTACTACGACTACTTCCATTCCGCTCTTGATTTTCGTTTCTAGGTATCATACGACTATTGCTACTAGTATGGTTACTCCTACTAATGCGACCACAGCTACCACGGTTACAGGTTTATTTTTTTCACTGCGAAGGGTATTTTTACGAAGACGATCATTACTTGTACAACTATTGCTACGACCGCTGCTAATATTACTACGACTTCTACTTCTAAGCCGACTGCTTTAAGTATTATTACCATTGCCCTTACTCTGCGTATTACTACTACGAATACTACCTGTACTACTACCACAACTACGATTATTCTTACTACTACTACTACTACTACTACTACTACTACTGCGGCTACAACTAGTTCTACTATTACTACTACTACTACTACTACTACTACTACTACTACGAGTTCTGCTACTACTACTACTACTACTACGGCTACGATTACTACTCCTACTAGTAATACTACGACTACTACGGGCACTACTTTTTATACTACTGCTTCTGTGACTGCGACTACGGTTGCTGCAGTCTACTACTAGTATTATTTCTACTGTCACTACGGTTACCACAACCATTATTAGTACTACTAGTAGTACCTACTACTACGACTACTACTAATACTGCTACGACTACTATTCTTACTACGACTACGACGACTACTACTACTACTACAACTACTACTACTGCTACTACTACTACTACTACTACTACTACTACTACTACGTGTACTGCTGCTACTACCACTACTGCTACTACTACTACTAGTACGACTACTACTACTACTACTACTAATACTACTACTACTACTACTACTACTACTACTACTACTACTACTACTACTACTACTACTACTATTACTACTACTACTATTACTTCGACGTTTACAATAATGACCACTCGTATTTCCATCATTTTTACGGCTACTACTATTACCACTACTACCAGGATTATTCACATTATTTCCACTACTACTATGGCTACTCCTCCCCCTCCTCCTCCTACTACTACTAATACTACTACGACTATTACCACGACGACTACTACTACTACTGCTACTACTACTACTACTACAACTATTACTACTACTACTACCAGTACTACTAC